GGATTGCTGGTCATATGATATTTTTATTTTCATTTTTGTGAGGAAACTCCATACTGCTTTCCATAATGGGCGTACTAATTTACATTCCTGTGGACAATGTGTAAGAGTCCCCCTTTCTTCACATCGATGCTAGCATTGGTGATTTTTGTCTTTTTGACAATAGCCATTTAGTTTTATATCATCCCATTTGTCTATTTTTTCTATCGTTGCTTGTTTTTGAGGTCTTCTTCATAAAATCCTTGCCCAGACTGTCCTTAAGCATTTCTCCTATGTCTTCTAGTAGTTTCACAGTTTTGTGTCTTAAATCTAAAAGACTTAAATTTAAGTCTTTTACCCATCTTGAGTTGCTTTTATATAGGAGAGACTGGGAACTCATTTTCCGTTTAGGGATATCTGGCTTTCCTAGTGCCATTCATGGAAGAGACTGTTTCTTCTCCAGCGAACATTCCTGGTACCTTCGTCAAAATTAGTTGGCTAGAAATAAGTGGGTTTACTTCTGTGTTCTCTATTCTGTCAGTGGGTCTTTGTGTTCTTTTTTATGCCAGTATCATGCAGTTTTGGTTACAATAACTTTGTAGTGTGTGTGTGTATATATATATATATTTTTTATTTATTTATTTTTTTTTTTTGAGACAGAGTCTCACTGTGTCCCCCTTGGTAGAGTGCCATGGTGTCACAGCTCACAGCAACCTCAAACTCTTGGGCTTAAGTGATTCTCTTCCCTCAGCCTTCCAAGTAGCTGGAACTACAGGCACCTGCCAAAACACTCAGCTATTTTTTGTTGCAGTTGTCATTGTTGTTTAGCTGGCCCCAGCTGGGCTCAAACCTGCCACCTTCAGTGTATGTGGCTGGCAGGATACCACTGTGCTACGAGTGTGGAGCCAACTTTGTAGTATATTTTGAAGTCTGATAGTGTGATGCCTCCAGCTTTATTCTTTTTACCCAGGATTGCTTTGGCTATTTGAGTTCCATACAAACTTTAGGATTGTTTTCTCTATTTCTGTGAAGAATGACATTGGTATTTTGATAGTGATTGCATTGACTCTGTACATTGCTTTGAGTAGTATGGTTATTAATTCTTTCAATCCATGAACATGGAATGTCTTTCGGTTTTCATGTGTCTCTTCTATTTCTTTCTTTAGGGTTTTATAGTTTTTGTTCTATAGATCTTTCACCTTCTTGGTTAAATTTGTTCCTAAATTTTAAAATATTCTGTAGCTATTGTAAACAGGATTGTTTTCTTTTTCTGCTTTTTTTTTTTGTGGTGGTACATAGAAACACTACTGATTTTTTATGTTAATTTTGTATCCTTTAACTTTACTGAACTCATTTATCAGTTCCAAGATTTTGTTGTCGTTGTTGCAGTTCTCAGGGTTTTCTACACTAAGATTGAGTCATCTGCAAACAAGGCTAGTTTGGCTTCTTCCTTTCCAACTTGGACGCCTTTTATATCTTTCACTTGCCTAACTGGTCTGGTTGAGACTTCCAGTACTATGTTGAATAAAAGTACTGGGCATCCTTGTCATGGTCCAGATCTCCTCCTTGTCATGGTCCAGATCTTAGAAGGGAAGGTTTTCACTTTTCCATTTTTAGTATGATATGAGTTTGTCACATATGGCTTTTATTGTGTTGAGATATGTTTCTTCTATACCTAACATGTTGGAAGATTTTTTATCATGAAGGAGTGTTGAATTTTATCAAATGCTTTTTCTGTGTCCATTGAGATGATTATATGGTTTTTGTAATTCATTGTGTTGATATGACATATCACATTTGTTAATTTGTGTATGTGGAATCATATGCATTCCTGGCATAAATACCACTTAATCATGATGAATGGTCTTTTTAATGTGTTGCTGGTTTGGTTTGCTACTATCTTAAGACTCTAGCTGCCTAGTCTAGCTCTAGATTTGTTTGGCCTATACAGTGAGGTGTTTCAGCTCAGCCACTTCTCTGTTTCCCTAGGACATAGAGTACTATATCAGCTCAGCACTAGGGTGTGCAGCTTCTCTGTGTGGCTAGAGCACTGCTTTCCCAGGTTTAATGTGTCTTCAGCTAAGACCTAGGGAAGGCATGCTTGTTCTGTATGGCCTAGGCACCATTTATTTCCCTGGGATGCAGGAATCCACTTCAGCTAAGGTACTAGAGTGGAATGCTATCCAGGGTGGCCAAGGGAGCATTTCCTGGGATACAGGGTACTGCTTCAACTTAGGCACTAGGGAGACATAACCTCTCTGAGTGGCCAGGTTGCTATTTTCCCAGGAGGCAGAGTACTCCTTCAGCTCTGGCCCAAAGGGAAAGAGGGAAGTGTAGGTGGAGACGCTCCACTTTCATTTGGGCTCATGAAGAAGATGTGGTTGTGGCAATTGGTAAATACCTCTTGCAGCTTGGCTTGGGGATGTTGGACCACTTGACTGAAATGGTGCAGTGATGGCTTAGCCTCAGGGATGGATGAAGAGGAGTTTGTTAACCCCTGGTTGTTCTAATTTCAAGATAGCATAGTAGCTGGGCAAACCACAGGGGCAGGGCACAGGGTCAGCTCTTTCTCTGGGGGCATCACTGCTTTGTGGACTCCAGGTATCTCCCTTAGCTGGGTTTGGTGCCTGTGGACTTCTGGGGACCCCAGTGGTGAGGTCAGTAGGTATCCCAGGTGTCCATGGTCATTACTGGAACCCTCTTCCTTACTTCTTTGCCACAGAGAAACTCCCAAGGTTTCTGAGTTAGGAGAGGGTTTGTGGAACTTGGCATTTCCTTCTGTTTTTCATGTGGCCATCCTGAGTTTCTGTGTTCACCAGAGTTTCTGTTACTCCTCGATGCGCCTGACAGTCTCCCTCATTATTTTCACTAAAATGTAGTTGTGCCTTCATTGTTCTGGCTTCTTTATGAGACAGAGGAGCTCTGGGGCTTTTAATCAGCCATTTTGCTCCAGTGTGGGAACCAGAGGATTCTGTTTCTACATAATTATGCTGCTTGAAATTGTCCCATAGTTTACTGAGAATCTTATTTATTTATGTTTTTCCTTTGCTTCTGCCAAGTCAAATTTGTTATTAATTCATCCAGGACATTTAAGAAATTTCAGACATTATGGTTTTTCATTCTTAGAGGTTTGATTTAGGTCTTTAAAAAAAAACCTCACATGTTTCACTTTTTGAAAACATAGAATATCTATTTAATAATTATCTTAATGTCTCTGCTTAGTCCAACACCTTTGCCAGTTTGGGGTCAGCTTTGATTGATTGTTTTTATTGTAAATTACATTTTCCTACTTATTTTATTGCCTGATGACCTTTGTTCTGACATCGGACGTCATGAATTTTACACTGTTGGCTGCTGGATAGATTTTTTATTCAGTGAATATATTTGAGGTTTGTTCTAGGATGCAGTTAAGTTTCTTGGAAACAGCCTCATCCTTTTGGGTCTGATTTTTACAATTCTAGTGGGTCCAAGGTAGTGCTCTATCTAGGGCTAATTATTTCCCATTACGAAAGCAAGGTCTTCCTGAGTATGCTACCCGATGGTCTGTGAGTTGTGGGTTTTTCCAGTCTGGGCTGGTGGGAATAGGCACTGTGCCCAGCGTGGTGTCAGTATCGGGGACTGTTCTGTGATCCCCTCGCCAGTCTTGGGTCGTTCCTTCTCACTCCTGTGTTGGTGCTTTCTCCACTTAATACTGAAAGTGACCATCTCCTCAGATGGTCAGCTCAGCCAGAGGTGCAGAATTTATTTTCCTAATTTGAGATTTTAAATAGTCTGCAGATATCTGGGTTTCTCTGTCCTGAGATTTTAGCCACCTTGATCTCCCTGGTATTCTGAATTCCGTCTCCTTAACTCAGGGAGCGCGATTCTCTGCCTGGATTCCCTCTCCCAGAGGGAGTTCAGCCTGGGAACTCCCTAAAGTTTGCAGCAAGCTGAGGAAACCATAGGATCAATCACTTGATTTGTTTCCTGTCTACGGATTAATCTTTGTTATTGCCTGATGTCCAGTGCCCTAAAACCCATTGTTTCATATATTTTGTCTCAATTTGTTTATTGTTTGAGTAGAAGTGTAAATCTGCTTCCTGTTTCTCCACCTTGAGAGGAAGCAAATATTCCTTCCTTCATTTTCCTAATTTGAGATTTTAAATAGTCTCCATAAACATAAACATCTTACATATTTTTGATTTATTTCTTTGATAGTTTCCTTCCCTTTGTTTTTGCTGTTCTTTCTGAAATTCTAATTATTTGAATGTTGGCACTTATGGACTAATTCCCCAGTTTTCTTTTCTTTTCTTTTTTTCCTCTTTTTTTTTTTTTTTTTTTTGAGACAGTTTCAAGCTATTGCCCTGGGTAGAGTGCTTGTCACAGCTCACAGCAACCTCCAACTCAGGCTTAAGTGAACCTCTTGCCTCAGTTTTTCTATGTTTAGTAGAGACATGGTCTTGCTTTTGCTCAGGCTGGTCTCAAACTTGTGAGTTCAAGCCGTCCACTCACCTCAGCCTCCCAAGTGTCAGCTCAGAAATCTCGTGATGGAAATTACAACCCTGGTTGTAATTTTTTTTTTTTTTTTTT